ATGAGATAGCTCCTGGCTGGTGAGCCAAGCCCCACCTGCAAGGTGCTGACCTCTCTTGCACCTGCCTTAGCTGAAAATTGAAGCACTATCCATGAAGCCCCAAGAGAGGCTAGGAGTAAAATGAACACACACACACACACACACACACACACACACACACACACACACACACACACACACACACACAGGCAAGAGCTGTGAAAACTATAAAATGTGGCTCCATGCCTGGGATTGGGCAGGGACCTTTTCCAGGAGCAGTCACATTTGCTCTGCCTGCGAGCGATCTCTGTGGGCTTTTGAGCAAAATGGAATCCCAAAACCTCGGGACTGGAGAGGGCCTCATTTTACAAGGGGAGAAGCTGAAGCTCCAGCAGGGAGGTGACTGCCCATACCTTGCCTCAGACCTCTCTCAGGAGCATGTGGAGCCTGGCGCCCTGAGAGACCATCCTCCAGGGGGGCACAAGCCATGAAGTTCCCCCTGTACACACAGAAACCCACAACAGGCTCTGACTCTAGCCCTATTCAGACACAACAGCCTTCAGAGAGAGCTAGTTACTTTCCACTCACTCCTGAAGTTTGACAACTACTGAGTTCACTCATCTGCTTTCTTACTTCTATTCCCAATCCAGACACTCTCTGAGGGGCAAATGCAGACCCTTGCTCCCTTTGACAGTCTGCTGCATTCTGGAGCCTTGGTCCTTTCCGCCCACTGGATAACCTGACTGAGACCTCCTTGGGGGCCCAAGGAAAGTCTGTATCCCCAAGGAAAGTCTATATCCCCAAGATTACATGAGCATCAGCACCATGGGCCCCCAAGGACATTTGGGCCCAGAGACAGCTGCAGAGCTTTCTATTCCTTTCACTGGATTTTCTGAAGACTAGATTCAAGCAAGAGAGGAGTTTGACCCTGTCTGTGCACAAGCTGCTCTTGGAAAGAATTCAGTTTTTCTCTCTGCCTTCAGAAGAAAATAAGTCTATAAACTGTTTTCTGCTGAAAGTTTGAATGAGATTGCCAGTGGGGTACATGACTTGTAGGATTTGAATTATGCTCCTGTTCCCTCCACTGGGTTATAAGTCCTCTCTTTAGTACTCATGACAAGGCTCCTCTTCCCACTGACACCATGAACACTGTCAGGGAGAAGTGACTGCCGGGGCTTTGTACTTTTGAAGACTGCCACCCTCTCCGGAAGTCCCAGCTCAGTTGCTTGAAAACCAGAATTCAACAAGGCAAGCATTTGGGCATCAATGGAAATGCCTGCCTGCCAATTTAAGAGTCCCTCTTCAAGCCGGGCTCGGTGGCTCAGCCTGTAATCCCGCGCCTTTGAGAGGCTGAGGTGAGTGGAAT